GTCAAATTAAATCAGGCTACACAGAAAAAAAGGAAAGAAAAAGGAAACAGGAAGTTCCTTGACGAAGTACTAGTATATTACCAGTGGTATTATTCCAGAAAATGGAACCTTCAACTCGCTAGAGATAATGTTTTTAGTGCGTTCCACTAACTTAAAATACTTCAAGTATTGACAGCTGTTTCCACCTATTTAAGGTCTCTTTAGTATCGAACAACTTGTAGTGTCACACCAAAGTCAAGTCAACAGAGGTGAGATTTAAGAACATCACGTGATCCACACCGCCTTTACACTTCTCAAATATTTTTAGATAAACACCGTTTTGGTGTTTGCTGTATATAACATTTTCAACCATAAATCATGGTGTTATATTAACACCACTTGGTGTTGGATTTTGACACCATTTTAAGATTACTCTTTACACCGCAGATATTTTAAACAGTGTAGCTTCCAAAAATTGAGCAGTAATATTTTGGGATAGCTCTCTAGATCAGATAAAGCTAGGACTAGTTTTAGACGAGTGGAATTTCCTTGATGCCTCGATGAATAAATGTTCATCTTTCTTGTAATCCAATGTCTTCAGTGGTCTTAATAGTTATTGGTTAAAATTGATAGTAAGTTATTTGATAGTAAGATGAGTTAAAACAGGAAGCACAAACCATAACACATTTCAACAATTGAATTAGGTGTATGTGTCAACTTGGCAAACAAGCATAGCTGTCAACTTGGACTGCAAAGCTTACAAAGAAGAAAGGAAGAATATAAAATTCGTTCCGTCCATTAGTGGTGTTGGACACAACAAAACCGAGGAGTCTTCTAATGACAGCAGAGAGCGGTTCTCGCGCGCATTTTAATTCTTTTTGTTTGACTGTGCGTGTCTCGGGTCCCGCCGCATAGGCGCCAACTTTTCATTATACTGTTGATTAAGGCGGCGAGTTCAGGCGATCGGATTCTCGCGCCCGAAACATTTTGAAACATTGTCTTTTCCCCGCTTATTAGTTTATGTTGTTTTTTGTCGGTGATGGCTCTCGTTTGTCGGAAGAATGTGTGGTTTTACAAGTTGGTCTTGATTTGATAATTGTAACATTTAATTTGAATCATCATTGTTATGGTTTTGGTCTTATTTCGAAAACCATAATAATGATCAATTTACAATCTTGTCAAAAATTGACAGTAAAATATAAAAGAAAATTAAACAAAATTCCGCTGAATTTGAAAATCGACCAAAAGTAGAAAAGACGCGTTTTGTTAAAGGTTTAAACCCTTACTCTTTAAGATTCTTTTAATAGTATATTATGTGTCAAGTTTGATAAACGCCATTTTAGTCACGAATTTTATTTAGGCACCAGCGACCTTGCGAGCGAGTGTTTAAATAAATGAGTGCCTAAAAAACTTTATAAACGAGTTGCATACTATACTTTTTCTACGACAAGCACTTAATATTATCTAAAAAATAATTTAAATTAAATATTAAATCTTTAAGAAAATAAAGTAACCATCCCAATAAACATTTTTGACGTAATTTTATTATTTTAATTAATCTTAACAATTATTGCTACTTTAAAATATTAAAATTACTTCAAAATCTGATTATGTGTTAAAAATATGTTATCCTTCGTTTTTTTATTACTATAATTGTAAAATATTATCACAAAGTATTAAAAATTCTTACCTGGGAAATGTTAAAGGTACAAAAAGTGACAGTTGTATTTATTGGAATTCCCTTTAAGAATATCTAACTTGGGAATCTACCGGCGTTAAAATCTCAAATTTTTTTGTGTAAATCAAAATTTATTTTTTGAAAATGGACTAACAACAATCGATATAAAAGCAGTTTTTTACAGTAAAAGAGAAGAGAATTTTTATGGACACTGTACGCAATATTTTTAACGCTTTATCAGTTAAATCTAGTTAACTGCACTATACTTATACTTTCATATGTATAGAAAATGAAATAACTAACTTATGTATAGGTATTACCACGTGCTTAGTTTTTAGTTTATGTTTTAATTTAAAAAACTAAGATATGATCATAATTAAAAAAACAATTTTGCAAATTATATTACATATAATCCCTATTAATCAAAAGTTTAATAGGTTTGAATAATTTAACAATAAATTATAATGATTTTGAATAATATATTAATTTAAACATTATTTTTTTTATTTAAATTTATAATTATTTTGAAGCAATTATTTATATATGATAAACATAATTTAACAGGTTTTAATTATTTTTAATGTTTACATTGAAATTAAATTTTCTAAAAATCTTTTATATTTAGTTTCATGTCAATAAATCGTTTTTCCTGACTTATCAAGAAAGGCCTTGTCAGCCCACTCTAAATATTTACAATGAATAAATAAAAAAACATTGTCAAGTACCGTGTATACCACGAGACTTTCATAAATCTTATTAAATATGACCGAGTTAATTTAATTTTTAAATACTGCATATTTTACTTTCAAATTCCTTCAGCTACATAAGCACACCTCGGGTGTTATGTCGTTTTTGCAATAAGCTAAATAAATTACCTCTATTCGTATGGAGTCCAAAATATTAATATTCTTAAACAATTTTGCTACCTACAGTTTATTTTTAATTAAACATGTAAATTGTATTCGTACAGTTAGTTGCATGTCGATAATATGTTATTCGAGTACCACGTCACTCAAACATGTTAAAAAGTATTTTTGAAAAAACAAAACAATTATCGACATAACATCGGAGAAAAATCAAAAATAGCTCTCTAACAAAGTTAAAGGTTATGTAAAATTTGCGGGGTTCCCCATGAGTGCAGCTGCCTAGTTAGGCAACTGACTAACAGGGCATGGCCACCTTTTTATGCCAATCAATTTTCCATTAGGTACGGAAATTTTTGTTGTTTTTATTACTGTGTCAGAAGATATATCACTATTAAAAACGCATTTTAGCTTTTATGTGTATTAGAAAATGAACACGTAAACCCCTTGTTTGGATGTTATTATTGAATTATTTATCGAAAATTGATGGCATCAAAGAATATTCTGATTTTGTTTGAGCTAAGCAAATGTGGTCGTCTTTTTTTAGTATGTCATGTATGTCAAGAATAACTAAATTATATAAAACTGCAATCTCTGTTTTTATAATTTGTATTAGCAAATATTTATCAAAATGGATTGAAAATTGTTGTTAGTTTTAAGTGGACAAAAAATTTGCTTCTACTTTGAGATGTAGACCAGTCATTTCATCTTAGATTTGATTTATAATAGTAATAATAATAATAATATTTATTCATCCATTTCATTCATTTGCTTGTAAGACTATAGTCAATAAAAAGCAAAAATTAATTAAAAAAATAATCTTACATTTACATTAAATAATTAAAATATACTATAATAAAATATAATATTTTTAAAAATTATCATTAAAAAATTGACCAACTGAAAAATTTTAATAATAATAATTCTTGAAGCTTTGTTATGAGTCATAACTTATAACACTTTATTCCCTGATATGCAAATAATCTAGAATAAGGCAAATAGGTTTTTGTTACCTTTTGTCTCATAACTAGGGTTGGGAAAATTTCACTTTTTGCTTGAACTTGAAATTTCACTTGAAATTTTTACGACTTTTATGAAATTTATTAAAATTTATGAAATTTATTGAAACTTTCAATAAATATCGGTGACCATGGCAAATTACCTCTTTTACCTCCTACCCCTCTGTGGGCCCCTGCACCAATAATATAAATAGTAAATACCTATGTTTACCGCAAATTTCTTGAGATTTCCTTTTAAATATTTTTAAAATTACTAAAACTAAAAGAGATATAGCACTTTTTGGTAACCTAATGAGATTGTGCCACTTTCATTGTTTTATATTTATATATATTTATTATTTTTATATATTTTACTGAAATTTTACAAAAATTGAAGAAACTTCATTAAAATTTTATGAGCCAAAGGCATTTTTTATCCGTTTTCCGATGCAATTTTAGCAAAAGTAAAAATTTAAATTAATCATGACTTTTAAAAAAGTCTGATTTAATTTACAAATTAAATTGGTAACTGAATTAAATTATTTAAATTAATTTATGCATATAAGTAAAAATAATTACTTATAGTGTATTCAAATCCAAGCCGAACTAAACAAAAACGCCCAGACACTTGATAACTCGTTCTTATTGGTCGATTCGGAATCTGTTGTAAATTATTATTAAAGGTCCCAGGGGAGGCCGCATGTGAAATTTATGCGAAATTTTCAGTAAATTGCGAAACTTTCAATGAAATTTCTGAAAGTTTCACAGGCAATGTTGAAATTTTCGAATTGAAAATTTCATTTGAAATTTTTAAAAATTTGACTTTTCCAACTAAATGAAATATTTCATTTTAAGTTGAAATTTTCATTTGAAAATTTCAACTGTCCCAATCCTACTCATAACTATGCACATCCGCCTTAAGAGTAAATAAACTTTTATTTTCTTCAATATAAATAATTAAATTATAAATGTATAGACAAAACCCACCAGAAAATTATACCACAGGTCAACAAAAATTGGACCAGGCCAAAATACACAAATCTCAAAACAGATATGGAAACAGTGTCCCTAAGAGACCTTATCAAAAAACCTACAGAACTTAACCGTTTACACAAACTATTTATATGAGGCTCCCAGGTCAATGTTATGTCTAAAAATTTAATTTTATCACAGGCTGGAATGGATAAATCAATGTATTTTTTTAAAGAAATTTCACATTTGTTTTATTTACATTTATATATAGTCCGTTTCCTAAAACATCATTCATAAATATAATGAAAAACAAAGGTCCCAAAATTGAACCCTGTGGAACCCCAAGCGAGACTTACTACTTGATTGTATATTATTTAAAAATACCATTTGACTTCGGTTTGATTAGTACGAGGAAAAGTGGTGGACCACGCATTTTTTTAGTTGTATAAAATGGTGTTATGATGTTGTTTATGTTGGGTCCTTGATTGTAATGTTTTCTTCTTGTTGCAGGATCACCCGAGCTTGAGAGGCACGCCTTTGGCGATGCTGGCCGCACAATGCAACAAACTGTCAAACAAATCGCCCCCACCTCTCGCCGACGCGGCCGTAGGAAAAGGCTTCCACCCGTGGAAGAAGAGCCCGCAGGGGGCTCCCTCCCCCGGCAGCGTCTCCGTGGCGAGCTCCATGCCTTCGCAGAGATCCTCCGCCGCTTCGAACACGACCTACTCGAGATCCGTGATGACGTCTTGCGCCAGCGGCGTCCCCACCACGGCGTCCTACGGAAGCGATCTGTATTTTCCCGGTGCCACCTCGCAGCCGGCAGTCGCGGATAATTCGCACGTGCATCACCATCAGAGCTCCTTGCTGGGAAAAGTGGAAGGCGCCGCTACCGCGCACCATGCGGCCTTAGGTTCCGTCTACTCGAGGCACCCCTACGAGACCTGGCCGTTCAACACGATGTCGGGCACCACGCATCACGGTACCATCAAAAGTGACACGGTTACGCCGGCCAACGCTTGGTGGGACGTGCATTCCACCGCGGGAAGTTGGTTGGATATGAATGCAGGTATGCACGCGCAAATGGCGGCCAATTATTCACCGGATTACTCCAGTTTAACCCACTCGTTAGCCGCCTCGAATCATCTGCTATCGTCAGGTCAGCATTTATTACAAGACACCTACAAATCGATGTTGCCTGGAGCTCAAACGGTCGGCGCTTCGTTCGGGTTGCACGCCGGTTCGTCACCTTCACCCACTTCGGGAGCTGGTGGTTTACCACCGCAGGTACCATCACCGAGATCCCAAAGGAGATACACTGGAAGAGCTACTTGTGACTGCCCGAATTGCCAGGAAGCCGAACGATTGGGACCTGCTGGTGTGCATTTGCGTAAGAAAAACATCCACAGCTGCCACATACCTGGCTGCGGAAAAGTTTACGGTAAAACGTCGCATTTAAAGGCCCATCTGCGTTGGCACACAGGCGAACGTCCGTTCGTATGCAATTGGTTGTTCTGCGGAAAGAGATTTACTCGCTCAGACGAACTCCAAAGACATCTTAGAACCCACACTGGAGAGAAAAGATTCGCTTGCCCGGTGTGTAATAAACGCTTCATGAGGAGCGACCACCTAGCCAAACACGTTAAAACCCACAATGGTACGGGCAAAAAGGGTAGCTCCGATTCCTGCAGCGATTCCGAAGAGAACTCGCAGAGCGACATGACGAACAATGTCAACTCGCCAAACTCGATGAACCAGACGCCCCCACCTCAGCAAAACATGTCGGGCTTGGACATGGTCACGGGTATGGACGTGAAGCCTCCAGGTTTAGTTTGAAGCAGGTGGGGGCCTACGCATGCACTTCTCTACCCCACATACCCCCGCTAGCGTGTGGCCCCATAACTTTGCTTAGTTATATGGACTTCTTGTTTGTATAAATTTTGTACATATGTGAATGGACAGAGCTTTAGTTACTTTAAAAATATTACAAGCCTATTATAGTGTTGGATTGTAACGAGTTTGACTTTTACATCAAGCGAATCTAGTCTATTATTATTATTATTATTATTATTTTAGTTTAAACTGCAAAATTATTCTTTAATTTAAGATTCCAATCATTTGTTCAGTACCATCGCGTTACATTCCAACAAAAACTTATTGTAAATAATATAAATATTTAAATATTGTATAAGTGTCGAAATATACAGGGTGATCCACATAACATGTGCATCACTCTGCAGGTGATCGAGAAACGTGTTAACTGTGTCACATATCATTTTTATTTATATGGCTTTTCTATATTTCACGACATTTTGAAAAATACTAAACATTGATACAATCAGGTTTATTGTACCTCATATGTAATGGTTTCTACTCTCGTCAAAAAATCTTGTAAATTGTATACTATCTGTAAATTATCGATAAGAGCTTTTGTGAACACGTTCATAGTAAATATAATTTTCAATCTGGATTATTTGAGACTTTTATTTGTGTTTATGTTTACCCTCATATGTTCTGTGGACATTCTATAAATTGATACAAATTTTTATTTATAAAATTTCCATGCTACTCTGTAAAAATTACTTTTCTGACTTTTCTGTCGCTACTAAATTGTAGAAAAACTCATTTCATTGGATTGTAGCAGGTAAATAAATTATAATATTGAATGAATAATGGGGTAGTTAAATTTTTTCTGACCTATACTTTTTATGGTTTTATTCAAGGCGTTTTGTAATATTAAACATTTCTGTGAAATCAGAATTTCAATTAAGTTTACCGTTTTCGAGATATTTACAAAAAATATAAATTTTTATGACGTCACAAACCCCACCATGTGACCAACATTCCAAGATTTCTATTGGTTGAAAATTACCCTGTTGTCAAGTTGTCTTGTCAATGATTTCATTCGGTTATGTCAGAAAATACCCGAAGAGGTTATGTACAAATACTGTCACTGTCAGTTGAGTGAAAGAAGAAGAAGAAGAGATTCTGAAAGTAAAAGTTTTATTGATAGGTTTACACATTGAAACACCGTGTGAAACCTAATAAAATGTAATAAATAGGTACCTAATAACTGTCTAAAGCAGAGTTTAATATATTTCATAGAAAAAAGTGGCAAAATAAAGCTGAAAATGAATGAAATAAATTTACAAAAAATAACAGTAAATGTAAGTTAACAATGGTATTTATGATATTTGTGTATAGTTTTTATAAAACTTGCATCCCTGATGATGAGCATCAAAACCTTTTGTAAGATTTAAAAAATGTATGACAAACTTTTGGACTGTTCGAAGATACTATGCTCTAGAGTACATTTTTGTACTTTTCGACAATTCTGGTTTAAATATTGCTGCAATAACGTACATGGTAGGTAAAGATACTGCAGGGTCTACAAATAGACATTTTTATTAAAATTATTCAAACAGATGGTCACCAAATTCATTAAGTACCTATCTTTCTTATTACTGTTTGATATTTTAGTCCAAGATATATCTAAAAGAATATAAAGAACTAGGCATTATACTAATGAAATGCATTTACGACAAAATATGATTATAATTATAGGTACTTACTTTATTTGTTTAAAAGCTCCAATGTTCAATGTAACCAACCATTCCACAAGATTCCTCTGCTTTGGAGTCCGTTATTAATAAATCACTTATCTAATATCAATTACAAATAACATAACAATAACATTGATTTTCAATAATCTAAATTTAAAAAAAAACATAACCCGAAAAAAAGAAACGTCAAAAAATCAATTCTTCTTCTTCTCCTCAACTAAAATTTAATAAATCACTTATCTAATATCAATTACAAATAACATAACAATAACATTGATTTTCAATAATCTAAATTTAAAAAAAAACATAACCCGAAAAAAAGAAACGTCAAAAAATCAATTCTTCTTCTTCTCCTCAACTAAAATTTTAGATCAAGTAGTTTTAAAACTAAAATATTATAACGTGGCGCCATCTATCGTAAGAATCTTAAACTAAACACCATAGAAAAAGCTGGCAACGTTGTCAATAGCCTAGTGACGTAATAAGGAGACTTTTTTTTGTAAATATCTCGAAAACGGTAAACTCAATTGAAATTCCGATTTCACAAAAATGTTTAAAATTACTAAACGCCTTGAATAAAACCATAAAAAGTATAGGTCAGAAAAAATTTAACTACCCCATTCATAAACAACTTATTTTTATTATTAAAATATTTATTTATCAATTTGTTAATATATTAACAACTTGTGCAAGTTTCTTATGGAATAATTCATAATTGGGCCTTTTGTCGGTGCCAATATTAAGACATAACATTATAAATTACATAGCTCATTTATTATCGATTTATTATGCTGAAAACCTTGGATTATTGAAAATTATCGTATGTCAAAGAAAGACAACAAGGTGCAACTGAAAATAAGAAGGTAAGTCGTGGAATAATAATAATATCTTTGACTCATTTGTATTACTATTACTCACACTCCCCAATTCAAAATTCCCATCAAGAACTTGTGCGCAATTAATTAAATAATCTCGTAATAAAAACACTTCCCGCTTCAATGAATTACCGCAAAATCTGAATAGGAGGAAAGTCTAAACCAGGCCGCAGATAATACTGTGGATGGTTGCAGGATTCCCTGCGGAGTTTCGGGGGTCTCATTGACTCATTTGATCCGGTTGGCGCGTGATTAAACATCGGCACCCCGCAGTGCCGGGTTCGGTCGTTCAGAGAGTCGCTCCTGTGCTAATGGAAACAAATGATTCCCGGCTCGTGTCGCCGCATTGTTCAGCGGAGATCTGTATGGATCTGATCCGGGACAGTGTGGTGCAAGAAATGTTTTTTGTACACTAAACCTTTAACTGGGAAATGGAAATTTTACTACAATAATAATAATAATAATATTTAATGTCTTTATTATTTATTTATTTTTATTTTATTTATATTTTACATAACTTTTTATAGCCAACAAAACAGTTCTTAACTGGTACCGCTAGTCTATAAAATTTGTTTCCATCCAACTAATCCATTCCATTCCTTACATTTTCTTATTTACTTTTTCAAAAAGTATACCTTTCTTTATTTTTCTTTCATTGCCTTTTCCAAAATATTAATTTTTATTAGAATACCATTAATTGAAATAAATACAATAAACAAGCGAGGTTCAGATAATATAGTACTATAGTACCAGAGCTGGGAGTATCTTCAAAAAAAGATACTTAAAAGTAACTTAGATACTTTTCAGTGTAACTTAGATACTTTTTAAAGTATCTTAGAAAAGTAACTAGATACTTTTCAGAAGTAGCTTTCCCAGCTCTGATAGTACTATAGTATAAATGTGTGGTTCATTTTCATTTTTTGTTCTTAATTATCCCTTTCCAAATAATCATATCCATATCTTCCTTTTAAAGAAACTTCTTCTTTACTGATACATTGTATATTTGAATGCAACAAATTTCGACTAATATTTTTACACTTCATCATGAAGGTTTTGCTAAAAGAAACCAAATATTATTTCAAGCTGTATAAATTTAAAAAAAAAAGACATCCAAAGGGACACAGATCATTTTTTTTGATTTGGTTTCATAATTGTATGAATTTCTTCAACAAATTGTAGCAAAAAAACTTACATAATTAATTTGACATTTGTACATATTTTAATCTAGTCGGCTCATATAATTCATGTAAATATCAGTAGCGGCTGGTGGATTTTGCGTATACCGATATTTTGGTTATTAGACTTGGGACCCACACCAAATTTATAAGAGTTTATAATGACACTAAATTAACAAGTTCTGCGCAAGCAAAAAATTATAGTTTTTGCTGCAGCTCCCGTGCAGCCTGGCCCCCCTAATAAAGATAATACAAATTTTAGTGGTGCAATTTATAATTTACCATACTTTATTGAATTTTTGCAAACTTCAATTTAAATTCTGCTTGCGCAGAACTTAGTTAGAATTTAATGTCATTATAAACTTAGTTAGAATTTAGTGTTACTATAAACCATGTCTAATAACTGAGATATGACATATTCAAAATTCATCAGCCGCCACACATACGGACGAATCACCAAATTACGGCGCCAAAAATATTAAAACGGGTTATTTGCGATTATGATGATAAAAAATGCTTTTAAGGACTTGATTTAATCTTTATCTTAAAAAAAATGCAAAGTTTTGTTATTTTCTTGATTATTTTGTGTAATTAAAAGAAAATAATTAAGGGTGTAAGTAGGTGTTAAAAAAATAGGTAGACAATTTTTATGAATGATAAAAAGGTTTTTATTAGCGCTAAATAAAATTATATTCAAAACTTTAATTTACTATACCGAGTGTTATTTTTTACCATAACCATTTTTTTCTTAAAAATGACTTTACAAAAAAATTCTCAAAATAATAATAGGTTTAAAGAGGATATCAAAAATACTAATTAGACAAAAACCCTTAATCAAAATATTTATTTAAAATTTAATATACAATAGGTCGTAAAATATTAAACATAATAAATTGAACATATTAGCATTCACCATCTTAATTAACAACAATTACTTTCAGGTAATGCAGATTAAGAAAAGATTAAGATGATCTAATATTTTATAATTGGTTCATTACATATTAACAAAGTATAATGTTTTTTTGTATGGCTAGCTTTTTTAACACGTTCACTGTGACTTACTTGATAAAAAAAATCTCTAAAACCTATGGCTGGACTCGGCTGGAACTAAAATTTACATGCTCATATTGGTAATAAGATACGCTATATGGTAGCCAAAAATGTAGGCGGAACTCTGCGGAACTTTTTTTAAAACTCTATCTAAAGTTATACTTTTAATTTTTTTTCGTAAAAATTCTGTTTCATAAAACATATTCTTACTTTTCCATGTATAATTTGTCTAATAACAATAATTACATATAAAAGTATATGCCATAAGCTTCCAAACACAACTAAAAAAACTTTTGATTTTACATTTAGAGTCATAGGACAAGCATTCTAATTCTGTCAACTTTTACGCGCGAGTACTTCATAGTAGTGCGAATAAAAGGTCAACTTTGGGGTGGTGCTGAGTTTTTTGTATACAATATATATATAAAAAAATACGTTTTATTGTGGAGTGGTCTATTGACAACGTGTTAATGATGTTTCTGACTAATTTTTTTAAAGTTCATTTTTGGCGCGCTAATGTGGACGTTCGTCCTTATGTGCGCCACTGGTAAATATGTCAGTATTTTAAAGACTTTTTTAATATAATATTTTGTGGTTAAATTGCACAAATTGTGGCACATGATAATAAAACATTGTTTAATAATAATTCCTCCAATTTGTTTAAAAAATTTTATAATTGTTGGGATGCGAAGGTGGTAAAAACTAAAATGAAACTAAATTATTAATTTAGACATGTATTAGGCGACTAATATAAAAGATATAAAAAATAGAATACCTAAACTTAATTTAAACTGACAACATAAAATA